TTCTAGTGGAGGTGGAATGCTGGAAATGTTGCAAAAAAAAAGTGGTGAAAATGATTTTGAGATTCTGTGGAGTGTAAAATGGCAGGAACTCTAGAGGAAAAAAAATCTTCTTTATATCTATGAATAGAAGCTAAGGTCTCGATTCTGCAGTCTTATCTGTGCAGCTGGATCTCCATCCAATCAGTCAGTGTCTGCATAATCACAGAGGTCCATCGCTACAGATCGGATTGCAGGATGAGCGATAGCAGAGGGATGTGTTTACGTTTTGCTACATATATAGTAAGGTTTGAGACAAACCAGCATAGGGCAATGGACAGTCCAAAATGGAAAGATTATAGTACAATGGAACCTCCGCATTCTAGGTGTCCCAAATCCAGGAACACCCACAGTATGGAGGAGAAAGCAGCTATGTGCTGCTGCTCTCCCTGCCTCCAGATGGGGGAATGGCAGAGCAGCAACGCGCTTCCCCTGCTGCTCCCATAGTGGCATGGGGTGGGGAGCCACATGTGCACCCAGGAAGGGTGTCAGGTAAGTACTCCATTCCCATCCCTCTCACACCCAGACTCTGCAGCACCCTCCCTAGGCCAGCAACATCTTTAATCCGGCATATCCTTTTTCACAGGGTTGCCGGATTAAAGAGGTGTAAATAACACCATTTTTTTTACAAACATAGAAGACAATTTAGGAGTGCGTGGAAATGTTAGATAATGTTGGTTATTTTCAGTGTACTCATCAGATACAACGTATAAAAGAATATATATTGTTTTGAAGTAGACATTTTTCACTGGTTTCATTTTTCGTGGAATGAGGAGTACAGCTAGTTCGGATTAGGAAGCCTAATCCGAACTAGCTACTCCGTGCCGCGTGTAGGCGCATAGATTTTTAAGGACAAAATATACCATTTAATCATCTATTCTACCCTAACTACTCCGGTTTCTTCAGGAGAAGCACCCCATCTAAGTTATCACCACTCAGAAATTAAGTTTTAGGAAAGTTGCATAAAAACACTTTTTCCTCTTGAGAGTTACCTGAACGTTGAGGGGGGAGATTTTTCATTTAAAAAGTTTCATTTAAAAAGGGAGAGGGATAGCTCCGTTGTTTGAGCATTGGCCTGCTAAACCCGGGGTTGTGAGTTCAATCTTTGGGAGGGCCGTTTAGGGATCTGGGGAAAATCTGTCAGGGATGGTGCTTGGTCCTGCCATAAGGGTAGGGGATTGGACTTGATGACCTCTCAAGGTCCCTTTCAGCTCTATGAGATAGGCAGGGCTTAACAAACTGCTGTTTCCACTCAGACAGTTGCTCCATGTGCCCCATTCAGACTGGCACATATATGGTTCAGAGCTGGCAAGTAGCTCTCGCTGCAGTTTGTCAAGCCCTGGAGATAGGTAAGTTCCCCTCTTCTTACAAATTTGCCATGTGTGGTGTAGGTAGGTTTGGGAGCAGGACTAATGGGCTAGATTCACAAAGAAATTTGGGTAGGGTAAGGCTGAATGTCAACCCACATAACTTTTCAGTATCTAGACTGGAATTCGCAGAGCCTGAGTTTGGTGCCTACCCTCCATACACACTTAATGGGAAAAGAGAGGCTCCTCAGAAGTGTACAGAGAAAAGCCAGCAGTCTAGGTTAAGAGTTGCTAATTTAGCCCGTGGGAGAGGGCACTCAGTAGGATGTATGTGAAGACCTGCCCTCTCTCAGAGATAGTCATCTAAGTCCAGCTGCAGGCAGGCACCTGTCTCTACTAGGGATTCTCTGCAAATCCTCATTGGTGCTAGCTACCAAGCCATTTTAGCAAAAAGCTGGGGCGGGCGATCCTCTCTTTAACGTTTAACCCAATGGTTAGGGTGTGCACCTGGGGGTGTGGGAGAGCCCTGGTTCAAATCCCTGCTTTGCGTCAGGGGGAGAAGGGATTTGAAGTGGGCTTTGCCAGCTCTCAGGCGAGTGCCTTTATCTCTGGTCTAGGGGATATTCTGCTATTCTGAGACTAAGAGCAAGCCCAAGAGTAACTATGTAGACTGGTAGGTAGAGTCCTCACCTGCGAGGCCCAAGAGCTTCACACCAACAAGCTTTTACAATTATTTAGCCACAGTGGGTCATTTTCAATGGGAGAGGCTGAGGGGCCCTATTCCCATTGGAACAGTCCCTAACCCAGTGGTTAGGACAGTCACCTGAAAGGCATCCGACTCCAATTGAAATACCTCCTATGTCTCAGGTAGAGGGGGATGTGAACCACAACCTCTCTATCCCAGGGGAGTACCAACCACTGGGGGTATGTCTACACTACCCTCCTAATTCGAACTAGGAGGGTAATGTAGGCATACCGCACTTGCAAATGAAGCCCGGGATTTGAATTTCCCGGGCTTCATTTGCATGAAGCCGGCCGGTGCCATTTTTAAATGCCGGCAGTTCGAACCCCGTGCCGCGCGGTTACACGCAGCACGGAGTAGCTAGTTCGGATTAGGCTTCCTAATCCGAACTAGCTGTACTCCTCGTGGAATGATCATTTTTCGTGGAATGAGGAGTACAGCTAGTTCGGATTAGGAAGCCTAATCCGAACTAGCTACTCCGTGCCGCGTGTAGCCGTGTGGCACGGGGTTCGAACTGCCGGCATTTAAAAATGGCACCGGCCGGCTTCATGCAAATGAAGCCCGGGAAATTCAAATCCCGGGCTTCATTTGCAAGTGCGGTATGCCTACATTACCCTCCTAGTTCGAATTAGGAGGGTAGTGTAGACATACCCTGGGCTACAAGACATGAGGGACCAGGAATTGTGGTTCATTCTTGGTTATTTTGTTTAATTTCTCAGGCAGGGGCATGACTGGATCCAGCAGGCAAGTTCTGGGTGCTCTTACAGGATCATGTCGCACGGGTGCATGAGGTGAAGGAAGGCTGATTATTTTTTCCCCCTCCAAGTTCATGCATCACTCTGGGACACAGCTGTCCAGATGCCTGGTGCCAGGCTGCCATACACCTGTGCCTGTCCACTGGCAGAAATACAGGCACCTAGGGAACTTTTGCTGCTAAAATGTAGGGGCTGAGCAAGTTTAGGCTTCCACAAGCTTTGGGGGCAGCTGAGCTGAGGGTTTTGAGAAGTCACTTCTATGACTTTATCCCAGTGTCTGTTGCTATGTTGGAAGATGCTGGTTTTAAAAGTGGTGTTAAGGTTGTGTTATTTCTGCAAGGGTCAGAAACCTCGTGGCGTTCTCTACATCTTCGGCCAGCACTGTTGAAATAAAGGTTAATAACAATAATCATTATTAATAGCATCTAGCTGGTAAACAGGGCATTTCCATCTATAGCTCTCAAAGCACTTAACAAAGGATGCCAATATCCTTATCCCCATTTTACAGATGGGGAAATGGAGGCACAAACAGTGAGAGTGACTGACCCAAGGTACAGTGGCCAGTGGCAGTGCTGGGACTAGAAATCTGATGTTGTCAGCAAAAGTCCACTGCTTGATCCACTCAATGTTACTATGTAAAGCTGCAGATGTCTGTCTCTTTGTGTCTCTCTTGCTGAGGCTGGAGCCCCCCTTCCCCACCAAAAAACCCCTGTGGGCTTTCCTAAAATGCTCCAGAAGACACATTAAAACATTTCTTCTTGGAAAAAGACTATACATTTTCCTTTTTGACATATATCACTCATTTTCAGTTATTGACTCATTCCTATTTTTATTAATAAACCACATGACAGCAGCTCTGTTAGGATCCTGTTTATAATATGTAACTTCTCCCCATCCTTTGTTTCTTGCTCCTAGATGACTGATCTGTGTTATAGCTCTAATGGCTGCCTACACTCCTATGAATTAATTCCCAGTCAAACAGAACACTGGGGCACATGCTTACCTTTAAGCACATTTGTCATTTCATCGACTTAAAAAAATAATAAGGGTCCACATTTTAATTAAAACTGAGCTTTCCAGCATGTGCAGTATTAAAAAAGAAATGCAAAATCTAATCTGGGGCAACTTCCAGTTGAGATGGTACATGTGCAAAAGACAAAATACACAGATTTGTTGATGCAAATGCAGATGTATCTGTCACTTTTCACGTCCATAGGGTTCTTTTTCAGTTATTTACTAATGATATTAACTTTTGTGTTTTAACAAGGAGCCATGATGGATTTGTTACTATGAAAGCCATAACTCTGAATATTTAGATTTTTGTGTTGAAATCACAACTATAGCTTTGGATAACTTTTGCATCATACACCATTATGCATTACAGAAATATGTATACTCCAATCTCTAAAAGCCTGATGTTCGAAATCAGTTTGGCTGAAAACTCAATTTGATTTCTGTGACATCTGAAGTTCGCTGTAAGAATATCTTGTAACTCAACAGATAAAATATTCCTCTGTTTTATGTTGTTTATGAACTAGTAACCATCATTGGAAGGTGATGCATGAAATCCTGCAAATTTGTGGATATCTGCTTTATATCTGCATCTGCAGATATGAATGCAGATATCCATGGATCATTTTCAAGGACATGAATGTGGACACAGATACAAATTTTGTATTTAGATCCCTGAAAATTAGTGGATATCTGCATTATATGCACAGGTACCCACATCTGCATATGTGGATACCAATTTTGTATCTGCACGGGGCTCTAGTGATACACTTTTTGATCCCTAACACACATAAAATTGTTAGAATGTCCATCACTTTAGCTCCTATGCTGCAGTTAGACTTTTGACCAGAAGATGGTGCAGTATTCAAAGATTCATTCACTTGAGGAGGCAAAGAACTCTGATTTTAAGTAAGTTGTGTGCTAGAGGACAGTGTGTGTAGTATACAAAAGTTAAACTTAGGAACTTTTTAAAAGATTCATTCCCCTATGCAACATGCTTTCAAAAATAGCACATAATTTGCTGTAATCAGTGGAGTAGTGATGAAATGGTTTATTGTTTTTGAAGAATTAGTAGATAGTTACACAAGAAATGATACCTTGTTTTATGTGAAGGCCTCTCTTTGTTTTATCCATCTCATTTTAATGTAGGGATAAAAAGCATGGCATTGGCAGCAGATGTAAGCAAACCTGAGGATGTACAAAGGATTCTTGATGTGATTGTAGCTAGGTGGGGCACAGTTCATATTGCCTGTAACAATGCTGGAATTAACATGAATTCTGCAAGTGAAGACACTTCACTAGAAGAATGGGACAAAACTTTTAATGTTAATTTACGAGGCTTGTTTTTGTGCTGCCAAGTAAGTAGGAGGATCTGTACTCTTTTCCATAGAAATGTGGTTGTTTTCTGAGCATCTGACTTACCCAGAGGTTTACTGATATTCTTGTTGCTAATTATTATCATAAAATTGATTGTATATTAGTGTTAACAATAATTTGGTTATGTATCTGTAGGCTTAGGATGATTAGTTTTTTATTAGGAAATGTGGGTAAACATCAATTTCACATATAAACCGATAGACATTTTTTTTCCCCTAACAACTGAAATTTACCAAAGTAAGAAAAATGCTGACTGCAGACTTTTTTAGATATTGAGGATATTTTCTTTGTATATTTTGACATATGATGTTGACAGTTTTGTGTTTTAATGGTTATTCATCTTTGACTTTTTGGAATTTAATGCTTGCTCTCATTGACAAATTATATTCCCCTCTCCCTCCGCTGAATTTTCCACATCTGTGAAAATTAAAATAAACAAATTTAAAAATATTTGAAAATAAACATTGGTATAATCTGCTGAAATTGTAAAAAAACAAAAAAACAACAACAAAAAAAACCCAAACCAAACTAAAACAAAAAACCCCAAATCAATTCTTATGATGCTGTGAATCAGGTATACATTTAGGCCAAGATTATAAAAAAGTAGCAAGCAATCACTGGGTGTCCAGTAGACACCTTAAAAAGTGACCCGATTCTCAGAGGGTGGGTGCTCAAAACGTCCTAAAAATCAGATTCTTCTCTGGAGTATCAGTTTGAGTGCTCAACAGTAAAGGCACTAGATCTTATTACTCACCTTTAGAAAATTTTGGCAACACAGTAGCTGAATTAAAATGATGATAGAAATTTTTCTGCATCAGCCATTTTATATCAAATTTTTATATCTTGCACTTTAAAAGAAATCCATAAACTCTTCTGAAAAGTGAAGACTAATTTATTATCATGTAATTATTAGCACAATCACAAAAGGGGTCACTGGTCTTTCCTTTAATTTCTGTCACAGGCTGCAGGCCGCATTATGCTGAAGCAAGGATATGGGAAGATAATTAACACAGCATCTATGGCAAGTTTAATAGGTGAGTGATGAGATCTAACAGTTGTGCTTCAGAATCCATATTTTAATTACTACCAATGCTATTTGAATCAATTAAACCTGTATTGGGAAGGAGTAAATCACTGACATTTTGTATTAGGGGAAAATGTACTACAAAATTTTTATTGATATCATTTTTCAACATTTATCTGTCCTCCATATTTTAAAGCACATATTACTATTTTTTTATAGAAAAGGTGAAGTTGCCCTCCTCGAGACTGACACATTAATTATGAAAGAAAGGTGCTGGTACAATTCCCATTAATCTGAGCACAATGTATAACATTTCAGAAACCTGTGCCTTGCTCGTGTTTACAGTCTACCCAAAAGCTCTTCACTTCAGCCTTAACAGCAATACGAGTTGGTATATTTCATTTCATCACCAACAGGTGTCTCTACTAACACTGCTGTATCCGCAGGTCGTCAAAGAGCCAATAAACTATTGTTGGAACATATGGAATGAAATCCCAACTGCTGAGCTAATCTGGGAAGCAGTTACATGGCGGTGAACTGAAGCCCATGTAACAAAAATTGATCAATTACACAAATTAAGCATGGCCCTTTAGGAATTTATTTTATTGGTCTGGACATCTGTTGCAGTATTGTCCAAATCCAAAAATCAAATGGCGCCTTGGGTTACCAAGTTAGACAAGAAAATCTAGTAGCTATAAAAGTACAACAAGAAAAGCCCTATATTAATATCATCCCCATCTGCTGAATGTTACATAAATATGCAGTCTTTTTATTTTCCTAGGGAATAACATTTATTTTTACTGTGCCCAGTCTGACATTCTATGACATTCTGTTCAGTTTATTACATAGTAACTTTAAATATTTCTTCAACAATGCATTTATAATGTTGTTAATCTTTTTTTTTCAAGTAGCATGACCAGCTGTTTTACTTATGGTTAAACACAAGAGTAGCCCTTTTCTCCAAGTATGGAGAATCACAAACTTCAAACAATAAAAAAAGAACGTTAGAGCTGTAAGAATATGTGTTTTATGTAGTACCTAGCACAATGGGTTTCAGGTACATGAGTATGGCTCTGACGTGCTACCACACTTCATATTAATGATAATGACAATGCAAGACTCCATAACAGATATTTGAAATTATAGAATGCTAGGCAATAGCTGTGAAGCAAATCCTTGGCTTTAATGTAGTTGTGGCAATTCATGTGGCAAAGTGTCTGCCCCTGTGAGTGTCAAAATACCATTATCTCTCTTATTTTTGTTGTTCAAAAGTTTTCTCTCTCCTTTAAAGAAGCTAGTGATATTTCCAAAGAGAATATTAAAATTTCAATGATCTTACTGAAGCTGCAAACTGAGGATCAGAGTCTCAATTAGTGTAAATCAGATCAATGTCAATATGACTATTTATAGCAGTTAACTATCTAGCCCTGTGTATGTTAACTGCATTTAGAAATCTTTACTGAACTATAAAATAGTATTTTTAAAGTGAAAATATCTTGAAAAAGGCAGTGTGAGGTTGATGTTTTAAATGTCAAAGAATGTTGATCCAAGTGGGCATGGCCATTGGTTGCTAAAACAAGGTGGAATGTGTTTACTCCATGAACCTGTTTAAATCTTGGCTCTAAAAAAAAACCCCTGAATAGTTATAAAAGTACAACTGAAAATCACAATGTTCATATTGTGTCCATATGCTGAATGTTAAATAAATATGCTGGTTGGTTATTTAAGTATATTGGCCAACTGGCATAGTATGGAATATTTCTAGAAATATTAGATCATTTTTTTGTAGGTTGAGTTCTTTTTGGTAGATACAACATAATGAGCAGAGGAGAATCTCAAGAGAATTTATCTGAGTGGATAGATTTCTGACTGTTGTTTCCCAGATATATTACCTTACAATTGTTTAATAAATGGAATATAATCAAGCTGAGATTCTGCATTCAGTTTTGCCTGTATGCATTTTGAATATCTCCAGTGGCTTCACCAGAGGTATTCCAGATATATGCCCGTATATATAGGACAGCAACAGAGAAAAGAGTTGTTGCTACTGGAGTTAATCTGCATTTATCCAAGTGTATCTGAGATCTCTACATTGTGCACTGACTATCTTTAGTGGTAAGAAGTCGATCCTCCAACATGTAAGTTACATGTCTGTATCAAGGGCAAAGAGGATCCCCTTCCAATCACTAAGCAAAGATGCAAACACATAATATTATATATTAAAATATAACTCAGCTGATATTATCAGTTTTACCCACATTCATCCCTCACCCTCTGTCTGCCATGTGTGTGCTCAAAACAGTAGGGAATATGTGAACCAGAGGGAAATTAGCCCCCTTTTCCAGCCCCTGTGAGAATAAACTTTGCTAAAGGATGCTCCATGGGGCTGAAGATAATTTATAAAGATTTAAAGACACTGCAGTCAATTTTTGATGGAAGATTTTGTGTGTGCACGTGTGTGCGTGCATGCATGCATGCATGTGCTAAATTCTAGCCTTGCACATGAGAGGTCCAGCTGAAGAGGACAGCAGAAGTAAAGAGAACAGGATTTGGTACTTTGCACTTCAATGCAAAAACAGTACCCACTATGAAAGTCATCCACTTTGTGACACCCTCTGGCTAGCTTTTCAGCGCTTTCAATTAGAAGGAGCGAAGTGTTTCAGGAGCATATATTTCATCTTCTAAATTGCGTCCCTTAACCATTTATGCAAAGACAGAGGCATGTAGAAGGAATTCTAGAAAATATATAATGAGCTTATGTCCCCAAATCAGCAGGCAGAATCCAACATCTTTACAGCACATCTCTGTTAGCTTGTGCACACTGAAAACTGCATAACCTTTACTGGGGATGATGTGAAAACCTTTATTGTCTTAGGAAACTCCAAGATATTTGTTACAAATTGGGAAAATTGAGCAATGGCTGCTTTTTTGAGGTGACAAAGTTAACTACCAAAGTGGTACGTAAATTGAAGCTGGTATACAGTAAATAATCAAGGAATTGCAATCTACTTTGTTTCAATAGCCCTCATGGAGTGCTGCATCTGTGATCTCTCTCTGATCAGGGTACCTCTGGACTAGACAATTTTTCTGGGATACCTCTGGTATCCTGGAAAAACTCTTCTGCTTTTTTTTTTTTTTTTTTTTTTTTTTTTTACGAATACGCTCTTTCGGAAGCCCCTGTATTCCTCCTTCTATGAGGAAGAAGGGGACTTCCAAAAAAGAGTTTTTTCCTGATATTTGGCCCAGTCTAGATGGGCCAAATGTCAGAGAAACCTCTACCAACAAAAGTATCAGAAAAAGCTATGCACAATGCAGAGCACATTTTGCGTAGCTTTTTCCAACAAACAGATGTAGTCTATACATACCCTCAGAGAGAGAGAAGGGAGAAATATTTCTTTTAATAAAATCCTCATTATTTTGCTTTGGAAAAATTACTTTATGGAACTAGGAGATTTACCTGGCATTTCTCAGGTCCTACAGGGCAGGGGACTGGAAGTATGGGGGATAGCAAGAGTCAGGGCAGGGACTTGGAGATGTGGGGGCTCAGGATAGGTGGCTGAGGGTGTGGGGGATTGCAGGAGTCAGGGTTGCAGAAGTTGAGGGCTACAGAATCAGGGCAGGGGATGGGAGGCTCAGGGCAGGAACAGGGGGTGCAGGAGTTAGGGCAGGGGATGGGGTAGCTGCTGGCTGCTCTCTGGTGCTGGATTTGGGCAGTAGGGGCCATGCTACCAGGCCAGCGGCTGCCCTAGGCCAGGCTGAGGTGGCAGGGGCAGGGCTGCCTGGCCGGGGGCTGCCGTTCAGCTTTGTAGGGCTGTCAGGGCAGTGGAGACATCTCCCACAGGGTGGCAGGGGCCACGCTACCCAGCCGGCAGCTGCTCTGTGGTTCTCCAAGTCTCTTGGGATGGTGGAAGTATGCTTGAGGCTGCCTCCTCTGGTCATTCTGCAGTATAACTGTCCCTGCTATCACACTCCTCACTTTCCAATTGATGAGAAGCAATCACATTCCAGGCACGTCCCATTGTCCTAGCACAACCAAACCCTGACATTGCTTTTAAATTTGCTTTATTGCATACGTAAAAGAGGAACTATTAGCTATGCCCTCCACCCCAATTTTACACCCACTTACACAGATCTAAGTATACGAAAAGTCATGCTGAAGTCATTGGGCCTCTTCACGTGCATATCATTAAATGTGCTTCATTGTTTGAAGAACAGGGGCCTATGCCATTTCAGTGTTTTTGCATAAACCAAAATATTGTTCTTAATTACCTGCTTTTTCCTACACTTGCAATTGCAACATTTACAAATAGTGGGTCAGAGGATAAATGCAAGTTCAGGAATATAGGAGAAGTGAGAACCTACAAACAATGGTTCATCTAGCCAGTGTCCTGTCTTCTGAGAGTGGCTAGCTTCAAAGGGAAAAAATGGAACATGGGAATTATCAAGAGATCCATTCCCTGTTGTCAAGTCCCACCTTCTGGCATTCAGACGAACAACCAGAGCAAGAGGTTGCATCCCTGACCATCATGTATGATAGCCACTGGTGGACCTGTTCTTTATGAAAGTATCTAATTCTTTTTTGAACCCATTCCTTCCGTTGGCTGTCACAACATCCCCTCGCAAACAAAGTCCACACATTAACTGTGTTTTGTGTGAAGAAGCATTTCCTTACTTTTGTTTTATACCTGCTGCCTATTAATTTCACTGGGTGACCCCTGGCTCTTGTGTTACGGGAAGGGGGTAAATAACACTTACTTATTCACTTTCTCAACACCCATGATTTTATAGACCTCTATCATATCTCCATTTGGTTTTCTCTTTTCTATAATGAACCTTCCCGGTCTTGGTCTCCCCTTCTATGAAAGCTTTTTTAACACCCCTCATCATTTTTTTGCCCTTTGTATTTTTTTCCAATTCTAATATATCTTTTTTGAGATGGGGTGACCAGAACGGCATACAGTATTCAAGGGGTGGCTATACCATGGGTTTATATAGTGGCATTATGAGATTTTCTGTTTGATTATATTTTCCTTTCATAATGGTTCCTAGCTGTAGTTCTTTAATGCTACAGCACACTAAGCAGATGTTTTGAGAGATCTGCCCACAGTGACTCCAAGATTTCTTTCTAATTTAGACCCCATTGGCTAATTTAGACCACAACAGCTGATTTAGACACAATCATTTTGTATGTATCCCCATGGGCATTACTTTGCATTTATCAACACTGAATTTCACCTTCCATTTTCTTGCCCAATCCCCTAGTTTTGTGAGATCCCTGCTACCAGTCTACTTCGAACTTAACTATTTTGAGTAATTTTGAATCATCTGCAGACTTTGCCACCTTCTTGTTTTCCCCTTTTTCCAGATTATTTATGAATAAGCTGATTGGCCCTGATTTTAGAACAGATCCTGGGGGAATCTTGTTATTTAACTCTTACTTCACTGTGAAAACTGACCATTTATTCTGATCATTATTCCTATCTCTTAATCAGAGAGTCTCATGACTGTTTACTTTGCTTATGAGCCTTTGGTGAGGGATTTTGTCATAACCTTTCTGTCGTCTAGGTACATTATATCCACTGGATCACCCTTGTCCACATGCTTATTGACATCCTCAAAGAATTCTAATAGATTGGTGAGAGAGGATTTTCCTTTAGAAAAGCTGTGTTCACTCTTCTCCAACATACTGAGTTCCTTTATGGTCTGATAATGATGTTCTTTTCTATTGTTTCAATCAATTTGTCTGGTACTAAAGTTAGGCATACTGACCTGTGGTTACCAGAATTGCTTCTGGAGCCTTTTTTGGAAAAGCTCTTTTTTAAAGCACTCCCTCCCTCGCTCGTGTCAAAAATTGGTAATTTGTTAAAACACTGGCATTACCTTAGCTTTCCTCCAGCCATCTCATACAGTGGCTGATTTAAGCAGTAGGTTACATACAAGTTAGTAGTTCTGCAATTTCTTATCTGCATTTCTTCAAAATTCTGGGGTGAATACCATCTGGCACTTATAATGGCGACATAAAATTGCTAGCTAAGCTGTTTAATGCTCATTTTCAAACCCTTGTTGGTTTATTGAATTGTCCTATCTATATTATATGGTGCTTGCCTGTAGTTACATGAAACTAATGCCAATTTTCTATGAGGCTATACCTTATAAAAATTCAGTTAGATATTTGGTTTTTAAAATGCATTAATACTATATATACTCTGTGTTGAAATATGTTTTGTTACCTCAGTAATGGCATTTTAATACTGATTCTTTCCCCTCCAAAAAAAAGATTTACATCTCAGTGTTGCTGGATGTTAAACTACACATGTTTAGATTTCACTGCTTTATAACAACTTTGTTTAAATAGGTCAGAATGGCAGCCAATAGCTAAAAATATTTAAGGAGTAAATCCTTAGCGGGTGTAAATTGTTATAATGGAATTGACTTCTTCTGATTTTGGTGGCATTATGACAGTTTACACCAGCTGCCCTAAAGTAGTTTTCCTTGGAATACTGAGAGTGTGAGAGCTTTGTGATGGGGTAGAACGAACAGAACATACAGCAGAAGCAAGCTTGAACGTTGTAATTAACAAGCCGATCATTTTCCTTTATGACTGACATGTGACATCTGTGAAACATTTTCAAAGGCTTCAGATTTTGAAAGTGGTAGGAGATCTGAATTTTGGGGACACATGTTCACATCCACACAAATACCTGATTCAATAATATAGCGAGGTTATAAATTAAGCAAACTATCTCGGTCCACACAGCTTCTTCTGTGTGTGTATTATAAAAAGTGTATGTGTGTTTTTGCATATGTTTATAGTTATGAGATACAGCCAAATATTTGGAGTGCATCATTGTAAAATGTATTATTTTGTAGTTTTGAAATCTGTAGTCAGGTAGGGTTTTTTGCTGTTGTTTCTTCATTTTCTCTTCAACCCTCCAGCTGTTAATACGAAAATATTATATTAGGAAAAATATAGATTGAGGGGTTTGCTATATTGTAATTCTTTCATTTTATCTGCCAAACATCTGTGGAAAGGGCAGATAGTTCATCTGTCCATGATGTGATTTTAGCTTCTCTGTGCATATTAATACATGAAGAATCAATATTTCCTATTTTTAAATTATTCTAGTTCCTCACCCGCAGAAGCAGTTAGCATACAACGCCTCAAAAGCTGGGGTCGTAAAATTAACACAGACATTAGGAACCGAATGGATTGACAGGGGAGTAAGAGTCAACTGCATTTCTCCGTAAGTAAAATGTAGTCTCACTTTATAAAGTACAGAAAGAATGAAGTGTTATAAGAAGCATTCACTGCTCAAATTAAGAAAATTTAGGAAAACAAAGTTTCTAATTAGCAGGTGGATTGCACCCCTTTTTATTTTGTTTTCTACTTAACAAAGGTTTAGTCACTATAACCAAACTGTTCTCCAGGGCTGTATATATTCAGGGATTTGAGAAAAGGTTTTAGCATTTGATAATAGGTTTTCCAACAACATGAAGGGTAGTTTTTAGCATTTCTCTTCCAGCTGAAATAGTTCCTTAGTTCTGTCCAAGCCTTCTCTGATTAAAGAAAAGGCTTTTGACACGTAATAGACAATGCTTCTCTTTTTTTTTCTTTTACTTCAGACAAATATATCGGCACTTTAAAAGCCACATTGTAGTGCTGTAATTGAGACACTGTTCAGCTCTGGCAATTACAGAATATTGAGGGGTAATTTTGTCAAAAAATATTTATTACAGGTTACATTTTACCTAATTTTTGAAATATTAAAGATGTATAGGTTTGAGGGGTTATGTTGTTGATTTGGTTTTTTAAAATCAAGTTTTTGCTTCACACACATGCACAGTCTCATTACTGAACAATTTTCAGTGCAAATTAGCATCAAGTAAATATTCAAGTGGTTGGCATTAATTGTAAGTGGTCAAATTCCATAGATCACTGAAGTCAATCAGCATAAGATGTGCAGGGTTTTAACTCCGAAGTTAAACTAACTGCAATGATGAAAATTAGTGTTTTCACATGAAATTAAGAAAAAAAAAAAACAAATGAAATGTTTTAATCCATAATGTGGAGAAAATATCCAAGAGCTCAGCCGCAAATATTTTTATTTTGATTCTTGGTCTGGTCTCTGCTTCTCTTTGCTGGCTGTTTTATATTATTGTTATTTATTGCTACTAATAATGATTGTGATTCCATCCCTTGCTCACTGTGATCTACAGATTATTTAAATAGCATCCTATTTCTGAAGAAGGATTTGCCCAGCTTAACATTGCTGATCTAAGTCTTGGTCTAATGACTCTACACCAAGTTCCAGGGCAAGGCGGACTGAATGAAGTTAGCAAAGCTTCAATGAGAACTAGCAAGGCAGAGCTACTGTTAACAGCAGAGGTAGAAAGCAGAGAGGCTGTTAGCTGCAATGAATTAATTTTTATATACAGGTTGGAGCTCCTGGAGGCCAATAGAATCAGAAAATATTGGTCACGTTTCAATATGTTTTCTGGCTGAGAAATATATTGGTAGCCTTTATTAATATAGTTGGAATATTAGTGCTGCATTCAGAGTAACTGTGATTGAAGAGGCACTTAAGTTATAAGGCCCTGGTTTTCAGATGTTTAAAACTTTCTGCAAAAAATTATCCATTGAGCTGAAATGTCTCATGCTCGTTAAATATACGGATTTAACAATCAGGAAACTTTTCAGCCCAACGGGTAATTTGATGCAGGAAGTTTTGTAGGAATACATATATTTATATCTAGTAAATGGATTGCATTTTTGCATAGAGTTTAGTAAAACTCCATGTTAGCTGTGAGTTGTCTGATAATGCAGAAAAGATACATTGATGCTTCAAGGGCGAAAAAATATTTCCAGAGGCTTTTCTTTTTCTATTTATAAACCAAAACCAGGTTTAATTTTAATAATTCTTACTCCTCCTAGAATTTGGTCCCACTCATGTGAATTTTTTCTGTGTAGGAATCCTATTGGAATAAGGGGGATTCATTGAAGACTTGCCAGTGATAAGCAAGGAAGAGCTTTTGCTATACCTGCAGAACCCTGGTTTAGACATACTAGTTATGAGTATTTGATAATAACACATGGTCTGGCTGAAAGCCCACTCAAATCACCAGGAGTTTTCCCATTAAGTTCTATGGGGTTTGAATTAGACTTATATTGCCCAGGATTTTCTTGGCTTATTATTAACAATGTACCAAGGTAAGGCTCTCTTGATGCCTATGTACTGGCAATTGCATGTACTTAAGGCACTGCATGGTGAACTCAAATGCACTTGTGTTCATTTCAATGACTGGATATTCAAATTGATCTCTCTGCCGGCGTGGAAATGTGAAACACACACTCCGTCTGATATTGCACATTAAAATAAGATTCTGGCCCAGGCACAGATATGTTCACACAACCTCCATCAATCAAATCTTCTAGCCTGGGTTCACAATCCAATTTTGAAAAGTGCTGGGCATCGTCCATTCCCATCACGCTCATTTCGAACGCTCAGCACCTCACAGTTGCGGGCCCTGCCTCTTTCTGAGGCAATAGGCCCATTGGAGTTGCTGAGTGATTTGCTCCGCGGAAAAGGCTGCAGCCTAGTTTCACAGGCTTACCGGAGCACTGGAGTGAACCTTGCATAGAGCCTTGTTTTATAACATGCCATTTCTTCAATAACAGAACCCGTGGAGCCCCAGAAATAGGAACATAGGTCCCAATTTAGCAAAGCATTTAAGCACATGTTGGATTTCAAGCTGGCAAGTATTCCTACTGAAGTCAATTGGAACTGCTCGTGCTTATGAGGGATGTGAACCAGAGGTGGGGAATATAAGGCCCAGGGGCTGGTTGAGGCCCTGGCTTGCTTGGGCCTGGCCCCTGAGGCTCAGGGCAAGCACCAGCATTGGGGAGCTCGTGCTGGCGCTCTAGGCCCCCCCTGCCTTCCCACTGTGGGGCTGGAGCACACAAAATCTGCTAGGCTGGACCCCTCTAGGCTCTGGTGTGTGAGGGGAATGTGAGGAGTGTCTTTCTCCTCAGCCAGGGGCCACATCAGTGAGGGTTTGTGGCTTGTTTGTTTTTGGCTTCTCACTTGTGTGCGGCCCCCGACTGACTTTTCTGTAGGTCAGCAGCCCCACCCCTGAGTTGTAAAAGGTTGACGGGCTAACTGGTAAGCCTCTCCCTTAATGGGTGAGGCTTACCAGTTCCAGTTAACTGGTTGGGGCTGAAGCAGCTCCTCTCCCACGCCGTGGGGCCCGCTGGAGCAGCCCCTGTCTGTGGCAGTCCAGACTGCTCCCTCCCACCCCAGGTTTCACGCTAGCTCCCCATGAGCAGCGCCGGCAGGGGTGGCCGGCCCCACTCCCAGGGAGCCAGCTGCAGAGCCTGCAGTGAAGTCTCATTGGAAGTGGGGCTGACAGGGGCTACTAGTTCCATATGTGTAACTGTGTGGCCAGGATGAATTTGAATGGTTACGGGGTTCCATTTAGAACCCCATTTTTACATCCCTGCTGCTTACAGTGAAGCACTTGAGTCCCAGTTCAGGAAAGAATGTAAGCACAAACCAGAGTCCATCCTTCTTCCTCAACAGTGATGCTTGATGGATTTTGGCTATATCCAGCTCCTCATATCTCCACATCTCCATAGCTGACCTCGAACGTTCTTTCAACATGCAAACATTTTGCTTCTTTTTCTTCTCCTGTTCTTGTCAGCTTTCATCTACTTATTTTTTAAATGACTACAAAACTTAGGCATTGCAGCGATGCAGAGATATCCCTGTCTCACAATGTAGTAGTTCACCAGTAGCACTTCACATCACCTTTCTTTTTGGGAGGGATACTCAGGAGAGGAGGTGGGAATTTGAAGAGTGAGTGAGAGAGAAATTCTTTCCTGGCTTCTATGCTCATGAGGCAAATTTTCTTTGGCTCCAACCCAGATCATAGATACAAATAGCCAATGCGCTATCCAATATGCAGTGATAAAAGCCTACCAGCCCTTTACATTGAATGCCATAATCTTCTTGAAATCAGTGGCAACATTGCTATGCTCACAGTAGATCTGGCCCAGATGCTACAAAAGGAGGAAAAACAACACACTAAATTAACTCATCTTCATTTAGAGCGGTATACACAATATACAATGCCTGCTGAATTGGAAAGATAAGTGTGAACTGCCCATGAGAATAAAATACTGTATGGTGTTTGATTTAATTTGCAGCTAAGCTGTTTATGTAAAGTTAAATTCATCATATGTGTAAAACTTCCTGCAGGTTGAACCTTTCTAGTTTGGCACCCTCGGGACATGACCAGTGCCGAACCAGAGAATTTGCCAGACCATGGGAACTCAGTATTGTCTAGCAGCATTACCAACACTTCCACTGCTTGCTATACTCTTAGAAGACATGTAAAGGTAAATTAGAGCTAAAGAACAGACTAGAACACTGACAACCAGGACTGGTGGTTGTAAACAAGCTTTATGGGGCCATGGGAAACTTGGCCAAACCCATGATAAGTGGACATTCAGCTAACTAAAATCATGCCGGACCACGTTTGTTGCCAGACCAGAAAGTGCTGAACTAGAGAGTTTTAACCTGTATGTATTTTAATGCAAAGAACTGGCATTGGTGCAACATGAAGGTGATGAAAATTAGAGCATTACATGGTTGGGAAATTGCAAAATACTTTGAGAAACTTTTAGTAAATTTTTGTGTGTCAAATGCCTCATAATTCTATCATGGGCTAGATTCACTTTGTCTTGTGCCACTTTCTGTAGGAAACTCAGTAGGAATACTTGCCACCTTCAAGTAAAGCATGAGCTATGTCCTGGGGGCAGGAAGCCCAACTAGAGGAGGGCTGAAGCAGCATAAAGACTTGCAACTTCTCATTTGATGAGTACATCCTCAAAACTTGGCAAGGCCGGCAGCTGAGAGAGCCAGGCTAGAATGAGAAAGAAATGCAATAATTCAGCTGGGCATCAATCAGCAGGGCTGATCAATTAGTCCAGGTAAGAACTTACAGCTGCTCTTGTGCAACCGAGACCCTGAGAGATGGTGGGGATAAATTCTGCCTGGGAACATGTCCTCAGTTAATTGAGCTGCCTTGGCAATACATTAATACAACAATCAAATTATGAATATAATGAAATAATGTAAATATGAAATAATCTATATTACAAAATAAGCAGTGATAGAAGAAAATACTGCATATATACAGCATGGCTGAGTAGACATTGCGAGAGAACCTCTACGTTGAGTCTGTCTTCAGAGTGCTTGATTTTGCAAACTTTGGATAGCATTAATCCTTTTTTCCCACCAAAAATATTCATGCTGGTTTGTTTTCAGAGAGCACAAGCTTCAGACAGGTGCTCTGTATAGTTAGGTCCGTTGGTGCTGGAGCTTGGACTTTCAGTTTCTTGAACAGCAACTATGGTCAAACCTTGGTTATCTGAACCCTAGTGAACCAAAATTCTGGGCATCAGATTTGTCCCCTGAAGTTTGATTTTTGAAGCCCACGTCCTGCAGAGTTACAGTTTTGCATAGCAACATAGTTGATAGAGGACTCCCGGCCCTGTAAGCCTGTGCTACTCGGTGCTTTCACTGGCTTGCTCACCTAACTCCTTCTGTTGTCTTTCCCCTGAAGACCTTGTCAGCAACTTCAATAGAAGCTAACTGGCCTGAGTTTCCATACTACACCGGTTCCACATACAACTAATGCCATTGCCATGCATAGTTATTAGAACATAACATAAGAACAGCCGTACTGGGTCAGACCAAAGGTCCATCTAGCCCAGTAGCCTGTCTGCCAATAGTGGCCAGCACCAGGTGCCCCAGAGGGCGTGGACCGAAGACAATGATCAAGCGATTTGTCTCCTGCCATCCTTCTCCAGCCTCTGACAGACAGAGGCCAGGGACACCATTTCTATCCCCTGGCTAATAGCCTTTTATGGACCTAACTTCCATGAAATTATCTAGCTTCTCTTTAAACTCTATTATAGTCCTAGCCTTCACAGCCTCCTCTGGCAAGGAGTTCCACAGGTTGACTACACGCTGTGTGAAGAAGAACTTTCTTTTATTAGTTTTAACCTGCTACCCATTAACTTTATTTGGTGTCCTCTAGTTCTTCTATTATGAGAACTAATAAATAACTTTTCTTTATTCACCCTCTCTACACCACTCATGATTTTATAGACCTCTATCATATCTCCCTTCAGTCTCCTCTTTTCTAAACTGAAAAGTCCCAGTCGTTTTAACCTCTCTTCATATGGGACCCGTTCCAAACTTCCTCGACTAATAAGCTCTGCTTTGCCCTCTGAACATGTCAGCTCCTTGCTTTGTGGAGATTCGACAGTGCTGCAGATCCCTTTGCCTGCATTCCATGCAAGCCCCATCTCCTCTGCTTCCAAGGATATTAAGATTCTCAAGCGTAGGATCTCCTGCTTCTTTTGCAATCCAGGGAACTACAGAGCCTGCCATGTTATTAGATGGGTGCCTGGAGTAGGAAGGAGATGCCATGTGCAATGGGGCCGACTACTGTCTGCTCAGTGCTAGTCGAGAGGCAGCTGTAAGATGCCCAGCACGTAGAGTTGGTCTGAAAGGAGCACAGGAGGAGGATGAAGCACATACAAATTTCTGCAAGTGTCCCAATTATTGGAGCGCCTGCAAGTGTGAGACTGCAGTACAGGAAAGAGCTACGCCCCACTATATCACCCAAAGGCGTCCCAATTAAGCAGCTTTGCTATCCCCATTAAGCAGCAGACATTGCTGTTAAGTATCTTTGGATTTAAATGTAATTCCATGAGAGAGAGGTCCCAATTAAGTGGATCTCCTGATTAAACATTTTCTGAGTAAGTGGAGTGCACTTAACTCATTCAAATTAATAGCTCGTCTGAAAGAAATCAAGTTAGACTGAGAGGGACGTGAACACATATAACAATTCCAGTTAAGTGATTTCTTTCCCACTGTCTCTCTATATGTAGAGATGTTTAAGGCTTTCTGGGTTTTTTTTCTTAATTTTTATTATTTTAATGTCTCAAATTGCCATTAAAAATTTGGTCAATTGATAATCAGGTTATATTGATGTTCAGGTTAATGTTAAGGAACCAGCAGTTTGATAAAACATTGACATGCAACAGAAAGTATTGATAGGCTCTGCATTGCATACTCGATGAGGTAGGGAATTAATGCATTGGCACTTGTCTTCGCTGGAACTGGTGAGAAGCCAACTAAAATCTGCCTAAAAGGGTTCTGCAACATTAAATTGCCCAACTTGGCACCAAGCCTTTCCCAGAAGATGTGTAGTATCAATGACATGCTTAATATTTATAGTATCTTCAGTGTGTGTTTGCAACTTTAAGTTGCGTGCTACATCTTTTTCTATTTATAAAAATTGCCTGTGATATTTTTTTAAAGCAGAATTTTTACTCTTGAAACAAAATTAAAAGAAGGGATGCTAAAGGCAATGGTTCAATTATTTATAGTTTGTGCTAACTACATTTAGTCTCCATGTTACCTGTTTGAAGTTGGCTGAAAAATATATATAATTTTTCTGAAGCTATATTATTTTTACTTTATATTGGTGTAATATATTATTTTTCTTAAACAGGGTTTTCTTTTTCGTAAAACAAACACCTCATTGGGAAAGACTAGCTTTTCCTAGTTAGCATATAAAAATATTATAGATGCATGGAAACCTAGAATCAATTACTGCAAATCTGTGCCAACAGATACAGTGCTTGGTGCAAATCAAGACTAAGGCCTTGTCAACACTAAAAAGAAGATCATTACTGCTGTGATTGATCTTTCGGAGTTCGATTTAGCAAGTCTAGTTAAGGCTCACAAAAGTTGAACTCAGAGGGTGCCCCTGCTGGCCTCCAGTACTCTTCCTTTTGAGAGGAGTAAGGGAAACTTGGCCTCCCCTGTAGGGATGCCACAGAGCTTAGCTTAAGGTAATCGGACTTCAGCTACATATTCTACGTAGCTGGAGTTGCCTACTTTAAGTTGCCAGATCCAGTGTAGACCGGCCCTAACTTCACTGAATTCAGTGGATATACACCAATGTAAAACTGCTATAAGTGAGCGAAGGATTAGGACTACAGCTTTCACTTCTGCAACTAAAACTGTATTTTTTTTCTCTAGAAAACCAGCACTAAACAGGTAGGCATGAGACTGTGCTTAGGAGAAATAAAATAGACTGTCCACAGTGTTATGCTGGAATTTATTCTATTTCATCATTTTGTGAGAGCTCAACCAACTTGCTCTTGCTTACCATTTCTGAATAATTATGGTGTTTATTGACAATTACAAGCAAAAATAAAGCTGGTATTTAAAGTGGGTCCTGTTTGTGGAAATGGCATGGGGTGAGGCATTCTGAATTCTTTCCACCTAGTAACGTGGTAAACTGAAGATTTCGGACTTCATTTAAAACAAAAGGTAAATCACATACCCAGAATCCAATGTGTTTCTAAAACCTATTTCCTTGGAAGTATAAATTGGGATGCCGATGAAGTTTCAGAACAAAATGGTATTTTTATACTTTGTTCATTTCATATTTATCACTAGCTTGTTTGCTAATTTTCATTTGCAAGAGGCAATTCTTCCAGCTAACTGGGTGCCTCAATGGGCCACTGATTTCTTTGAAGTGACAGTCTGTAAATATGCATAAAAAAGAGATGCAATTAGCGTGTGTGTGGTTCAGTGCAGCCTGATTTCATTGGCAAGTTTACCCACAGTGTTGATAAGCTACATTATCTAGAAAATTGGCCGCTGAAAAACAGCACCTCTGATTGCCAGCAAAGGTTCCAGATAACAGGGTGCTGAAGAGAAATATAATTGAGGTTGAATATGTTAACCAAGGTGTCACATGCTCCTTAGAAGCGCTAATTTATCAGCATGTTGGAATTTTTATTAACATTTGGAATGCATTTCTACTACACTAATGAAGTGGAATTGGCAGTTCAGGTTTTAGTTATTGTCATTTCTGAGAAGTTAAATGTAATTTCTCGTTAGACACATTTATGTAAATATATTTGTTCAGGGACTGAAAAAATTATACATTTCACAAAATACAAATATGTTGTTAAGGAGGAGTATGACAAATCAGTGCTAGTTAACGTCGTAAATGCCAGCCAAATATTAGTACTGTATTGAGCATTCTACGCTCTCCACTCATTTGTAGGGCATTTGAGGGAAATGAACAGAGTTTCTAATACCTTTTTGTACTTAACTCATTAGAGTGAAACAATCCAGATTAGTACATGTTTTGTAACTGGTCATGTATTTATTTAATGGGGGGTTTATACTTGGCATAGTTGGCTTAACTTTTTGCTTTCACTGCTCCCTTTTCATCTTAAAGTGAATTTAGCCTTGTGAAAGGAGATACTGGATTTTGTTTTCAGTATTTTTTGCATATGGAAATTTGGGCCGTTTTCAGTTTCTGAACTGTATGCAAACATGTTGCGCAACATTAGGCTGCACACTGATGAAAAATAAATTTGGTAAGTGGAACACATTTCCAAAATGCAGAGACAGACTGGTTGTGTTCATTTTGTTTCTACGCCATGTTTGTTTTCTATAGGAAAATGTAAATTGGGTCTTATAGTAAGTAACCTGAGATAATGGGGACCCGAGGTCAGCCAACAATACAAATGATGAGTGCTCTCTTTATGAGCAAATTGCTAAGACGTTTTATTAAAAGTAAAAGACAGTAAGGGACAATGATGATTGAAGTTTCTTTATAATGCCTTAGTAGAGCTATGGGATGTCTAACTTGGGTAGGGATGCTGACACAATTTGTGTAGCAGGGGTGCTGAGATCCACCAAACCAAACTGTAAACCCTGTATATAATGGAAACCACTTCAAGCCAGGGGGTGCAATAGCACAATCAGCACCCCTTCTTCCAGAACTTATGCATATTAGAATCTTCACTTCTGTTATTTTACAGTATTCTTTTCTAAGTGGCATTTTGTATCTCTATCTCCACTCTTTTTGTATGTACTACGGATGCAAAATCTAACAGCATATGTGTGTGTGGTATTTATAGGGGAATCGTAGACACACCACTCATCCATTCTGAAGACCTGAAGCCTCTGGTACAGCGCTGGGTAGCAGACATTCCTGCGGGGAAGCTGGCTCAAGTGACAGACCTGCAGGCAGCTGTAGTATACCTGGCATCTGAAGCTTCAGATTACATGACAGGCCACAATTTGGCCATAGAGGGTGGTCAAAGCTTGTGGTAGAAAAGATCTGAGCATCTTTCTTCTTTGCAGCACTTGTAATGAGCATAAGAATAGAAAACAGACAGGAAAGAATCCTGATTCTCATCATAGTTTATACAGTAAGGCCAGGTCAACACCCAGAAGGTTGAGTTAAGGTACACATCTCCAGCTGCATAAAATACATAGCTGGAGTCTGCCTAACTTAAACCAACCTTGGTCTTCACAGTGGGAGGCCAATGGGAGCAAATGCTCCTGTCAACTTCCGTTACTCCTCACTGCTCTAAGGAGTACTTGCTGACTGGAGCCGCCCTCAGCATTTGATTTAGCGGGTCTTAACTAGACCCACTAAATCAAACACCAGAAGATCAATCTCCAGTGCAGCAAGTGGTGATGTGGCCTACGGGACTTAAAATGTTCCTCCCCAGAGAATTCTGATTTCCTTACAGGATTGGGTTCTTTACATCTAAAAAAAAAATCACAATATATCTTTTCAAATGCTTCAGAAAACAGATAATGGAGCAGGGGGGCCAACAGACTGGCTGGGACCCCTGGGCAATGTGGGGAGGGCTGGCTCTGTAGTCCTAGAGGGGGCGGAACCTCAGGTGGAAGGAGTAGGGCTGGGGGCAGCCAGGCTTCAGTGCTGCCCAGAGAGCACCACACCAGCCCTTCCAGTCAGCCCTCAGAGCCTTCCAGAATGTGCAACGTGGCATTCCGTCAGCTATTTAAAGGGATTGGGGCTCTGGCTGCCACCACTCCTTCATTAGCAGCAGTTGCAACAGGGATACCCTGGCCCTTTTGAATCACTGGGCCTTTGGACAATTTGTCCCTTTGTCCCTTCTGTTGGCAGACCCAAAATGGAGTTAAACTAGTGTTGATTGTGACCTTATGATATAAACATCTAGAACAAAATTATTGCTTCCTTGTTTAAGCTGTTGTTTGAAGACCTGTCTACCCATTTCATCTAGCAATAATTATGTATAAAAATGAATGTGATTCTTCCTTTTCACTATTTCTTAATATTTCACATTATGCATTCAAATCTCTGTGAAGGTAGTACTTACAAAATATAGGTACATTTACTACAGATAAGCCCTTAGCAGTTGTTTAGTTTAACGGGGACATTTTTTTAAAGCAAACATTATTAGTCGGTCTGTGCTGCATGCTTTTCATTGGGTGTTTTTTATTCATGTTGTGTCGGTGACATCTGTGAATTGTTTAAAAAAAACCAACAACCTGAAAATGCTGAAAATGTTAAATGAGATATCACAAAATAAATCCATTGCATTTGCTCCTGAATGACTCAATTTCATATTTCCTGGTGTACTTAGCTTTTAATAGTATGTGTGTACACACACACACACACACACACACACACACACTTCCCTGCCACAAAAGTATTACATTTAACAGAAAATTACCAGAGAAGTAGCCCTGTTAGGGTACCTCTAGACTATGTTTTCTTTCAAAAGAAGATATCTAGATTTGGTGCTACTTTGTATATCTTCTTCCAATCGCTTTTTCAAAAATTTTTTTCAAAAAAGCAAGCAGATTAGATGCTGTTCTTTTGAAAGAAAAGAATCCTTTTTTCGAAAGAACCTTCTTCCTTAAAAATTGAGGTTTACAGGTTCTTTCGAAAAAAGAGGGTTTTTTCGAAAACTGCATCTAAAATGCTTGCTTTTTCGAAAAAAAAGCTCTTTCAAAAAAGCAATCAGAAGAAGATATGCAAATTAGCACCGAATTTGCATAGCTTTTCTTAAAAGAAAAACGTAGTCTAGACATACCCTGTGTCTGTATCCACAAGAACAACGAGGAGTCCTGCGGCACTTTAAAGACTAACAGATTTATTTGGGCATAAGCTTTCATGGGCAAAAACCCACTTTGTATCTGACAAAGTGAGTTTTTGCCCATGAAAGCTTATTCCCAAATAAATCTGTTAGGTGTCAAGATGCAGCAGAGAATTATGTTTAGCAAATGTGATTGTTCTGATCCAAAGTCCATTGAAGTGAATGGGGACAATTCATATGCTTAAGTTAAGCACATGCATAGCTGTTGGCACTGTTGGGCTCTTTTTTTACCTTTACCTTGGGTAGACAAATGTGGGCCAAAGCCTTTGTCTCCACCAGCAACTGAATGACAAAGCTTTTGTAGTTTACACGTGCACACGCACCCCCCTCGAAAGACAAAACGTTTGCTTTGGTGAGTGGCAGTATAAATGGCATGTCAGCAGAAGCATGCTCCTGTCAACAGTGCAAACCCCACCCAGAGAGAGAGAAAGTAGTTTCTTGGCAAGAATGCCAACAGACAGCATTTACACTGCCTGACTTCCAGCGACACAGCCGTGTTGACTTGGCCGTGTTGCTAAAAGCTGCACAGTGCAGACAAAGCCAACATTTTATTTAAACTGTGTTTTGTTTCTGTAAAATTCCTAAGAACTGGTAGTTCTCTAGTGTGACAGTAATAATTCCAATGATCAATGCAGTTGCATCAGTGGAAAAACCTGTATGGGTAACGAAATCAGGCTTATTGTTTAGAGACAGTAAAGTATGGCACAATAATAATGACAGCCCTCTGCATTTATATGGTCTCTCATCTGAGGACTTCTGAGCCTAGTCTGTGTGACTAAAGAAAATTTATTTGCAAGAATTCACTTGCAAATCTTTGTCATTTGTTTTTCATTTGGCAGCCATATGTTACTGTAACATAAATAATTGCGGATGGATGTCATTATTTTTATTAGTACTACACAACCACACGCTTGCTACCCGTCATTGTGGCGAATTGCTGTAATTGTTTCAGACTTGACATTCACCATCATGCTGTTATTCATCTGAAGAAGTGGGTTGTGCCCACAAAAGCTCATCATACCATCAACATTCTTGGTTAGTCTCTAAGGTGCGGCAGGACTATTCATTGTTTTTTAAGTTTTTTCATCATGCTGTTAGCTGTGCGTTTTGCCAACATATTGTCGTCATGCTGGATAAAGTGTAAGAAGATACCTGTCTTCATTAAGTTTTCTATTAGACCATTGATACTTAATAAATATTTCATGTTTCATGTAGAGTCATTTTTCCCGCCGAGTGTTCTTATTAAGACTAGAGCCTTTTTGGCTTGGAAAACTTGCCTCTTGTGCATGATCTAATTTATTGACAATGCTCGGCAAACTCACAGGCTTCATAGAAAGTTTAATTATGGGAGAAATTGTCAAGCAAAACAATTAAAGACTTAAACATTTCATTATTTTTCTGGGCTCACAAACCCTTGTTTCTGCATTAGCTCCCACACTTGCCTCATTCTGTGTCATATTCTGGAGGGCTTCATGTTATTCTCACATCTCTCTGGCTGGCTTTTCATCCCAAGGTGCAAACATGGGTGAACTCATCAGGCGTGATTCCAAATGATCCCAGAGTGGCTTGTATATCTTAGTGTGGACCTATAAAATCATCAGGTCTATAAAATCATGACTGGCTTGGAAGAAGTGAATAAGGAAAACTTATTTAATTGTTCCCATAATATAAGAATTGGGGTCACCAAATGAAATTAATAGGTAGCAGGTTTAAAACAAATAAAAAGAAGATTTTGTTCAATCAGCGCACAATCTGTGGAACTCCTTGCCAGAAGATGTTGTGAGGACTAGGACTTTAACAGGGTTCAAAAAAGAGCTACATAAATTCATGGAGGTTAGGTCCATCAATGGCTATTAACCAGGATGGGTAGGAATGGTGTCCCTAGCCTTTGTTTGTCTGGAACTAGATGACAGGAGAGGGATCATGTGATGATTACCTGCTGTGTTCACTATCTCTGGGGCACCGGGCATTGGCCACTGTTGGCAGACAGGATACTAGGCTAGATGGACCTTTGGTCTGACCCAGTATGGCTGTTCTCTTGTCCTTATGACCTCTGCTGAACTGCTTGTTGCAATTCCTAATGAAAGAGTAAAATAGCAAATGTCAGTAATCTGAAGCACTGGCACTGTAATTGAGCCTTTTGTTTCCAGTTTCAGCAGACCGACCAAGGACTGAGCAAGCTGTGAAGACTGACTTCACCTTTCATGTCTCGAGATGGTCACTCCAGGTTACCATGGAAGCACATGGGTAGGTTATGATGGGCAGCTTGAATTTCAGCTGCCTTGGCTTTGTTTGTTGTGAGGAGAGGTGGCTTCAAAGCCAGATGGATACTCAAGGACTTTTCACGAGCTCCACACTCACTTCAAACACAAAAACCCAGACGCCCAAAATGAGTGACTGCATTTTTCAAAATCCAAAATCTCAAAAAGTAATGAGCTCCAGCTGTGTGGATCCAGAGCTTGCTTCCCTCCAGCTTATTACCCGCTGTGCTCTCCTTCTGAATGAGTAGGCAAGGGGAAGGAAGAGAGAGGCAGGGCATTTATCTGAATTGGTTTCGGAAGTCTGGATTTTGAGCCCTGTAGGACTTAGGAAGGCCCCGGCGTAGCTTCCCAGGATACTCATTCCTGACATTGCAGTGAGGTGTGTGTCTACCTTCCTCAGCTAGTTGGTAGTTCTGAACGGCTCTCTGCACCTCACTGGGATCAGTGACAGGTGTTTTTATTTGATTGGCTATCAGTCTACAACACAGCTTGATAGTTTCCAATCCATGATGCTTGCAGATCTCAGGTTATCTCCTGGAAGGTGTTGCAGCTCATTCCTGCCAAAGAAATGTCCTCTCTCTCTTTGTCCTCGGTAGCCTGAGGAGACTGGGCTCTCTCATTTCAGAGGACCTTGCTTATACCAGTGTTGTCTTCAAGTCGTCATTGTCAAGTCCAAGTCGAGTCACTACAGTTCAAGTCTCAAATCGAGTCTCGAGTCCCTAAAGCCACTTTCGAGTCAAGTCCCAAGTCGAGTCTCAAGTCTTAATTTTAAAAACGTCAAGTCGCTTTTGTACAAGCCATCAATATTGGCATTTTTGGACAATTTTTTCACCAAGTCGATTTAACAAAATTAGCAAGTCTCAAGTTGAGTATCAAGTCACAAACAATGAACCTGAGTCGAGTCTCAAGTCGTGTCACATAGGCAACTTAAGTCGGACTCGAGTTCAAGTCGTGGGACTCGAGTCAACAACTCCAGCTTATACTATGATCATCACCAATTTTCAGGCCAGGTAGTTGTACCACTTAGAAAGTTAAAGATTGGTGTAGCAGTCACCCTTTCTCCTGTGTTCCTAGACAGAGGCACAATAGCTCCACCCGGCTGTTGGTGGACCTAATGGGGAGGTGTACTGCTGGGGCATTCTCAGCCTGGTCTGCCCCTTAAAGAGATAGGGCCGGATTGTGGTCAAGGCTTCAGCCTGTGATCCAGGAGAACTTGGTTCTATTCCTTGCTCTCTCACGCATTTGCTATGTGGTGCTGGGCAAGCGACTTAAATCAATATTTCTGAGTGAAATTCTATGGCCTTTGTTATACAAGAGGTGAACTCAAGTGCTCTGCGGTACTTCCTGGCTTAAAAACCTATTAATCTAGTCCTAGAGTTAGTGGCAAGCACAGATTTCCTTTTGTAAGGGGGAAAAAGAAGCTTGAGATGGCTGATAAGAAATGGTCTCTCCCCTTTATTTTAATGCCAAAGGCACAGAAGATATGAGTTTTTGAAAGAAGGTGCCCTTATTGTAAATGCCCGGTGAGTTTACAAAATGGACACATCTGCATCTTAAAGTTAGAATGTTTATAAAATCAACCAGTATTCTGCTCCCCCACTGTTTGTGGTATTAATATATAGTCTGAATTAATATATTCAGCCAAAGCCAGATGGCGTTGTTCCTAATATTACCTCTAGGGGGAAACCTAAACCTATGTTGTGTCTGTACTAACTGGGTTTCCCATTTATCTATTCAACTTTAATATTGTATCTAAGTTAGTACTTTTGATATTTCTAAGGGTTTTTTTTTAACATTCATGTAGAACACCACATAATTGCAGAAAAGATAATAGTCACATACCCTAGGGCTTGGTGTACACTTATGTTAAAAGTACAGCTTTTATTGGCAACTAAAGTAATAACCTTTCCATGTCAAATTGCTTTAAATTAAACTTAAAAAAAAAAACACTGGCTGATACCCACACTTAGTAATTGTCAAACATTAGCATAATGTAGAATACTAAAGCTGCCTAAATCTTGGGTTTAAAAATAATTATTTACTTAGGTAAATTCTGTTCTCAGAAGCATAATATTAGATTTAAAAAAAAAAACACGGCCTCCTTAATGTATATGATATAATTTAGATCTGAATGTTGGGACTGGATATGAT